GCTCGGCTCTAGCCCTATCCGCCTACCCTCTTATGGTAAAACCTATATTGATGTCGTCGGCAAATTTCCTTACCTTACCCTCTACGCCGAGATCCAAATCATTTATGTAGACCAAAAATAGAAGCGGTCAAAGGACCTCGCCTTGAGGGACACGACGGTCCATTCCATCAGACGGATGGAATGGACAATTGGTGTCTGGAAGCAAGTCATTTTGTCCGATGAGACCAAGATCAATTGTTTTGCCTCAGATGGACGCCCGGTTATTGAAAGCGTGAGGGGGAACGCCGGCAATCTCGACACGGCATGCAGACTGTCAAGCACGGAGGCGGCTCGATCATTATCTGGGACTCCAAAACGATCAAGGCAACTGGCCACAATGGTACCATGGATCAGCAGCTCTATAGATGGAGGACGGCAAACGAAAGACTTGTAAGATCTCGACGCTAACAAAGTTAATTTCCTGCATGACAACGACCTAAAACATCAGGCAAAGAACGTCCAACAGTGGTTGAATCAACAACCTTTGGAGGTCTTGGAGTGGCCAGCTCAGTCTCAAGACATAAACCTCATCGGGAATCTCTAGGCACACCTCAGGCGGTGCCTCAACCAGTGCGCGGAACTGCCCAAAGGTATGCTGGAAATGTGGGAGCAGGTCCAGATTGAAACAAAATCGACCAAGATTAGATCATCGAAGATTAGAATAAAGCATGCCTTGGCGACTTGAGGCTGTGATTAAAGCCGAAGGGATGTAGACAAAGCATTGAATTTGTTGAGCAAGTGATTATAGTTGAAGTTTTGACATTAGGGACAAAACTGTCCGCATACATTCATTTTGCTTCCTGTTGGGATTTCGTCGTAACCGCTGGATGGATTCTAATGAAACTTTAGACACTTAGAAGAAAATTTTGGGTACAAAGGGTATGTCGCACAGAGTAGTTCAATTATCCTATAACGGGATAATATGTCCCAAAGCAGATGTTGCCGAAAATTGTTGTTTTGTCCCTCAGTATATTTACCTCTGAATTATCTGAAGGGACATGGTCATATTCTTGTATTAGGGTATTGGTGTTGGATATTACGGGAAAGTGTTACATGGGACAGATAGGATGACAAATCTCCACGGCGAAGCTGGGAACTGAACAAATGTCTTCCGATTACTGGTCAAATATGCTGCCACTACCCAGCGGAACACAAGATATTGACATTCATCTTTCCTTTCTGTTCTATTTTCTACTATGGTCGCGCCTTCGGCGCTCTATTACCTTGGATAGTGATTATTTCATTTCTTCTTTTCGAAATGGCAAACACGTATTTGAAGTACGTCCCCATTGAAATACGTGACATATGGAGTCGAAAGCCTTGATTTTTATCAGTCATTACCTCTATGATTATATGTGTGCCTAGCCTGAAATCTTTCCTTGTGTCCCTTTTTCTAAGGATGGAGAACCCATTTTGAAGTACTTCCCTCCAATAACCGACGCTAAGGAGACGTATTTCAAAATTAGGATTTTTCTTCTACTCAGCCATCAAATAGGTACTTTTGAAAGTAGTTTAAATTTTCTGTCTCTGGATAATAAAAAAATGAGGAAAATGGGACTGAAAAAGTGGTATAATGGCCTTTAAAGAAAATATTTTTTCTTTTGAAATGTAGACTCAGGGAACTCCATGCCACCCAGTTTCAGCCTTATACGTTTCCCCTTTTTGCAGGCGGAAAAAAATGTATTTGGAAAAGCGACCCACCCAAAATCTGTGCTCTGAGGAGATGTGTAAATAAAAGTTGAATTTTTCCTTAAATCGACATCACTTCAGTGATGCGTGCGCCAGCAAACTTTTCTGTCTGCCTAGTGCCAGGAAAGTCTCAATATTATACGTTTGCCCTTTTCGCTGGTGAAAAAACATGCTTGGAAAAGCCGACCCACCCAAAAGCTATGCCCGGAGGGGATGCCCCATAAAGATTGAATCCTCCCTCATCTTAGTAATGTCATGTCATTTATGCGTGTGCTAAGTTTCACCTTTCCATTTCTGTCCAATTCGCCGCGACATCATTTTTATTTAAACATCGCTCCTCGAAAAAATTCCCCTATGGGATGTATCGAGACTTAACATTTTCCTTTAACTCCATGTCTCAGTAGTAACATTCCTGGAAAGTTTCAGCTTTCCGTGTTTATCAGTTTAACTGAAGCAAAAAAATTATTGGAAAATATCTACGTTTGAAATTTGTGCCCCAGGGCATTTACTTCTAGTCTGAAATTTTTTGCACAAAGCATCTCTAAACATAAGCCACTTCAGAGTTTTAACGCTAAGATGGCTAATATTTAAGATCAATGTAGGCCTGAGCAATCGTCCAAGGGTTGGATATAAGCTTGCTGAGTCATTCCCATTAGGGCAAGTACTGCCAATGTCGAACTGTATTTGTAGTATGCAAGCCAACAGCTATTTATTTTCCATCCCGTTTCCTTTGAGGAGTGTGCATGAGAGTAGTATTGGCCTAAGGGTCCATCCATGGGTTAGGCCTAGGCCTGCGAAATTTGTCCCCAGGCCGTGTACACCCCCCCTCCCTCCCTCCGAAGTCTGAATTCCTCTAGAGTGAACAACGTAGCAATAACATACACTTCCTTCAATGACTGAGGAGGAAGGAGCGTGTTCATGAGAAAGGCGTAAGCCTACATCTCCATCTGGGGGGAGGGGCTAGGAAGCAGACACATAAGCTCATTACTGCTGAGTTTCAAGGCGATAATTCCAATTCGACTGTAGGGACCTTTGTCGTTAATTTTATATTCTGGCAAAGGGACTCCATGGCAGTACCTTTTTCATACTCTTCTAATGGTTCCATACAGTTGTCCATGGAAAAACCGTATAAACCGTATATGCAGCCCGTATACCTTCCCGTTTTNTAGAATTAGCGTCAGTCAGTCAGTCACGATCGTCTATATATATTAGATACTTGGCCTGCTCATAACCAACAGAATGTCTCAGGTTTGTGCCCGGGATTTCATGTTTCTTATAAAAATGCCAACCTTCTACTTATGAGTCCCTTTGGCCACCGGTTCCCAGACTTCTTTGAATCGCGACCCACTTGATGATGCACAGAAAATGTTGTGACCTACATAGCTACATACAACGTAGCATTTAATAATGATATTCTACATTGTCTTAACTTAAGAGTCAAAGATGCTTTTCTTGCTCGTCTATGACTAAAGATAGCGCTTTAACCCCAAAGGGCATTTTTCCTCTTGGGAGCGAAGTTCAGAAGTTGGGGCCAGAGAGCTAACATTTTTGTTAAGTCTTGCATACCAAGATGCACTAATTGTTTATGAAGCAAATCGTAGGCTGAAGCCCAACAAAAGTGACTATAGGCGGACAGAATTTCACATGGAAGTATCCCATTTCCTTCAAACATTTATGGTGATGAGAATATCATGTATATGTTCTGGCCAGAAAGACATTCTTATGGTTATATAAAAAAATCAAGTTTTTCTAATGTTTTTTTTTACTGATTGTTTTGAAACAGTACTGATTTTTAATTCCGTTTGAAATGATTCACTTTATTCATCGTTTAGGATCCCATACTCAAACTGGGTTTCACAATGAAAAATATAACTATGAAATTACTTGATCTAAGGTCCATTAATGCGTTTGGACATCTCTTCAGATGAATACGAGGGGTGATGAAACATTTCTGGGACTGACCTTTTTCCATGACGCTGTGAAGTCTCTTTTAAATTATTGATGGCTCCATCCTTCAAACTAGTCCTCTTTGGTAGTTCCGCTTATTTTCCGGCGTATCTTTAGCTGCTGGAAACATTGCTGTCAATTAACGTTTGGAATCACCAGCAGTACTCACGTCGCGTTTACACTTTTGCTTTGAATGCCTGAAATCTTCATTTCGTCACAATCTTTTGCTCAGGGAGAAAAATAAGAAAATCCTAGGAGCTAGATCCGGCAAATTAGATGGTTTGCGAAGCACGGCGATTTCGAGATGGGTGAGAAACTGCCGAAATTGAATAGGAAAGAAGTTTCAGAACATTTAAAGCAGTGTTACGAGGGCGTAAAGAGTGCTGCAGGTGATTCCGAAGGACCCGATTTATCAATTATTCCGGCGGTTGAAGAAATGCAAGAAAATTTGTATAGATGTCGAAGAGGACTACTTTGAAGGATATAACCGTCTGAAAGAATGACAACAGCTTCATAAAAAATGCAGTCAGTCCCGGAATTTTTTTATCACCCCTCATATATTCAACAGCTTCCATAATTCGTTGCATTTGGGAGCTTATCTACATGCTTCTGCGATTTCATATACTTTTTCATTTCCTCTCTCTTTTTAGCAAATGTCGTTCAATTATCAATATGGATGTCATTCAAATATGGAATGGATCCGTCACAGTCATATTCATAGGCTTCTCAAAGACGTCATCAATGTACAATATCTTTGCATGACGATACTTCTTCTCCGCCATGATCTGCAAGATCTTCTCTCTCGTATCTTTAAGTGTTTCAACCATCACGACCTACAGCGAGAACAACAAAGGAACATATCTGAGTGCTAAGCAGAAGCATCAATATTCTTTGAATGTTTTTTGCCATACTGTACTTTTATATCAAACAAATCCCAGGGAATGTTGGAAAGAACTAGGTAATCCATTCCATCGATGTCGAGACTGAGGAAGTCCACAGTGACTTGATGCAGGGCCCAGAGAAACGATTCCAGCGGAAAGCAAATAAGGTCCTGATTCCTCTTCACGAATTCCGTGCCTGTCCAAGTACCCATCTGTGGCAGATTGTCATCATATGTAGGGTACAGAATAATGATAGATGAAGGTATATCTATTTGGGGATGAATGGATCTCAATTCCATGTTTGAAAACATGAGGCATAACATCATTCTGGCTGTTCCCTAGCATCTTAAAAGTAGAACATCTCGTGAATGTGGCAGAGTAGGCATAACCTAACTTGCACTTTTATATTAGCTATGAATCATGGATAACATGTGTTAATTTCCTTTTGATTCTAAATTCTTCTGCAGAGAAAAATGATTGAATTAACCCAGATGTGAGTGATGCGAAGTAGATGTAAGCTTGTGACGTGAGGGCAAAATACTTTAAAAACTTAGCATATTATTTTCATTTTGGAAGCTGGAGGAAACTTGTTTGGAACATCGTGAATACAGCAATACATCTCCACTATCAGTGCACTGTTCGTGTCCCAGTCTCTTTCCAGGTGTGTACATTTTCATCCTCTAGCTTTTCTAGGAGCATTGAGTTCGCGTAAGATGCATTCATGGTTACTTCATTGTTTCGTCATTGTTATTAGAGGAAAATACATTATTTGGATATTTGAATTCGCAAGTTTTCAATAATGCATGAATCGTAAATAGTACCTTTGGGTTGGGCTCCATATTTCCCACAATGATCCTCATTATTATTCTGAATACCTTGGCTTAGAATTGTTATTACTTGGGAATTCTTCAATTCAAATTTGATGTCATTTCAAAGGAATAGAGATTCGAATGCTCTAACCAATAAATTCTGAAATGGGCCCCAGAATATGCTCTTAGGTTGAGTTCAAGTGGAATTCTTTCTCTTATGTAGGGGAAGGTGGGGCAAAACGGGGCAGTTCAGGAAAATGTATAATATTTAGTACCAAGGAGTTGGCGTAGCACGTTGCAGAATGTAATGCGGAAACTTTAATGTCTTACCTACGACTAGGATTCAGCTTAATCGCGAAATCAGCGACCGGTTCACTACCCCAACAATTCTAAAAGTTGAAGGCAAATATCCTGTTTTGCCCCACCCATGGAGCAAAATGCCTCTGCGGGGCAAAACGGAGTACGCTTCCAAATATATTTTATTTTTAAAAGATATTATTCATAATAACCTCGTTTATGCCTACTTATATATGTCACAGAACGGACACGACAAAAAATAATTACAAGTAGCAAACAAATGATTTTCCATATGTTTTCCCTTGTCATTTCATGCCTATTTGCAGAGTTCAGAAGAGAGACAGCAACGAAAAATCCACGAATTGTTGATGCTTTCTCACCTTTCCCGAGTTCTTCATTCTTACTTACAAAGAACAGAAACAGGAAATATCAACAAATAAACCATGTTTTCCAATATTTTCATTATATGCCTGCTTACTAAGGCCACAGAACGAAACAACAATGAAACTTTTAAAGCGAAACAATTGTTGCTATTTCAACTAATTATCCATTTATACCCCATAGATGCAAACTTAGCGAAGTCACAGAAAAACATATCCTCATTCGTGTCGTCATCGATGCCTCCACAATTCTCATGACAAATATGTCATGCTGGTGACCCAAGCATCATTGGGTTTTGAGCAAGAGAAAAAATCTGAATACTAGTAGTAACACATCGTGTCAGCCTGAGTCTCACCATTGTAATCAATATTCCAGCCAGAGGAGAATACATATGTAGAGTCTATATCGCCCGATTTGTCCCATCAGCACTGTCTATGATTAAGACATTGCCAAAGAAAAGGTGAATCAGACATTCAAAAAACTATGCCTTCATGTTATAGTTTACATTTTCACCTTTAGCCAAAAAAAATCGGACCCAAACAAAAAAGTTACCGGTAATTGACATGGAATTTCCATGCAAATTCCCGGTCATTGTGGGAGTTAACAGACTTTTGACCACCTATGTTGGAAATGACCGGGAATTGACCGGGAAAGGGCAGGAATTTCACATAAAACCATTCGCTATTCCTCTGGAAGGGGGGAAACGGCAGAATACTGTTGCGTACATGGAGGTGGAATTGCAATGGAAATTACAGGCTGGGGTTCGGTAAGATAATGTGCGCGTCAGTTGGGTAAGAGACAATGACTCCGCCATGCTGAGGTCGAAAGTACCTCCATCAATCCGACTGAAAATTAAGGTTAGGGCTGACTATGTAACGAGGGGGTATCGGAAAGTAAGTTTCCATGCCTCAAGAACAAACATGGTAGTACGAGCGTCACGGTACATATGCTAATCTGTACACTGCTTCCTGCCCTACCATCCGAACACTGGTGGCAGGATGCATGCGCTCAGTGATGGTGACAAAATAGCAGCACTCTTGGAAGAGCACACAAACTGTGAAGTCAGCAGTTTGATAAAGTTTTTGTGGGTAAACACTCATGCACCCGTCGATATCCACCATCAGATCGTTGCCGTGTATGGTGACGATGGGAAAATGGTAAGGAGGTGGTGCAGTCCATTTGCTGGGGGCCAAACGTGTGTGAAGGATGATGAGCGCTCGGTTCGCCAACTCAATTCAAAAATGTTTTTGAAAAGCTCATTTACTGATGGGACAAATGTATGGATGTAGGTAGTGATTATGTAGAGAAGTGGAGTTGTAATACGGTTTCATATTACCACAGCGTGTAGGAATGTTGCAAATATATACATATATTTTTATTTAGAAACATGGGGAACATATTTTCCGATATATCCTCGTATAAGACTGCGCATATATGATGAGGTGACCAAGTGTTAGCCTGGGCCTCGGTCTATGGTAGGGAATGCACACCTCCTCCTCACTTCTAATCTCAAGCCTCCTTGGTCTTATCACAGGTCTAAGCTTATGTTATTCACCTCCTTGGTCCTGTCGATGTACTTAAGTTTCAGACTTGTCATCGACTCCGCGTACCTTAAATTTCTGCAGCACTGCTACTACTTCCTTTGGATGATGAGTGTCTACTCACTCGAACCACTCACATTCGATAAAAAATACAGAATATTCAAGGATATGTTTTCTTTCTTTCAGAGTCCAAAGCAGCACCTTCCCTTAAAGCTGTCATAATTACTTAACTGTATCATGTTACTCCTATACGCTTCATGCAAACCAGACCAAAGTAGTACCACAGTGCTCTCTTTTTGCATATTGAGATTTGGAATCGCACGACTGATGTGCAAATGCCATGGTAATAGTATTACCAGGGATCTCCATGGAATATACACATGGAAATGAACAGGGACTGGGAAATTCCATGGAAATCACATATGTCATGTCAATTACATGTGCCCATTACATACATATGGCAATGCCCTTTAAATGACATGTCATTTCCATAGAATTTCCCGGGCAAATTTCACCACCTGTAAGTATTTTTTGAGGAGACGCCTCCAATGTTCCAATGTTACTTTGTTTCACTCATAAAAAAATTGTAACATATAATAAAAGTCTATGTTTTTATCTATGCTCATACGGTGGTTACACACAACTTCATAGAATGAAAACGTGCCTGAAAATTTGCACCCATGGTAAGAGATTCTAATATACATAAAAGATTGTGACTGACGCTAATTCTAACCATGTTCTAGAAAGGTTAGGAATCTGAAAATTGGTACATATGTACCTTTTGGGATGCAGAGTTCAGAAAAATGCAGACTTTGAAAATGAATGCCTTGGGGGTACAAATATCAAAAGGGAAATATTTTCAACTAATTTCACTGCATCTGTTAAACTGATGAACATGGAAAGCTGATACTTTGCATGAATGTGACTATCGAGACAAGGACTTAAATGAAACCTTTTTAAGTCTCGATACATCCCCTGTGGGAATTATTTCGAGGGACGATGTTTTGAAAAAAAATATCGTGGCGAATTGGTCAGAAATGGAAAGGTGAAACTTGGCACACATATAAGTGACATGATATTACTGAGCTGAGGGAGTATTCAGCTTTCATGGTCCATCCCCAACAAAGTGGCCTTTAGGGTTAAAGTGCTAGCTTTGGTCCTGGTCGAGCTAGCAACGCATTTTTTAGAATCTAAGTAAACATGGAACCATGTAGAACCGCATTATTAAATGCATTTTTACTGCATTTATTAGAAATTGAATTATGAAATTTATAAAATTGTGAATTTTGCTGAATTTTTCACGCAAATTATTAGCACTAGGATGCATTGTAACACCACGACCTTTTGCAACTAAGGCAGTGGCAATTTAAGAATTAAATTTAAACTTCCTACGTTTTGTGAAACAGATTTGAAATTAAATTTGAAAAGTCCAAAATTGCCTATTTTCACCAACTTTGGCTGTTTGTACTTCCTCTTTTAAACTTGTAACTAGTGTCAAATGAAAGATCTCTCCAAGCGCTTTCCATTGAAATATTGATCGTGTTGTTACTATTACTTTTCATGCCTCTGTATTTTTTTGAACTTTGGGATTCTGCAAATTCCTAAACGAAAGATATGACTGAAATTACAACGAGGGGAATCTTGATTAAACAACCAGACCCATGCATATCTCACATTGGCCTATAAACATCGCTATTTCTACTATATTCTTGCATTAAGTAATAAAATATCAATATTTAACAAATTAATGGATTCCCAAACGCAACAATTTAGTCGTTATCTTTAACGCCTGCATGCATGTACATTTCAGGAGATTCATACTTCAGAATGGAGTTGTGTTCCTTCAAATTGTTATGTGGCTGTAACCAAGTGTAATATCGCTCTTGCACATGTCACATGACAGTGTTCATGCCAATGATAAATCTAAATATAAGGTCTTTCAACTTATGAACAACGACATTTGACATACTAGGGGCGGTCTGATAGCCTTTTTAATTTCGCACTCGCACACATACGCGTGATGGAACCCAGGTTTTTATGCTCATTTTCCAACGATGTGGGAGTTTCCGGTGGCCATTTCCACTAGTCTATTTCTGAAACACTGCTTTCTTTTGTTCTGCACCCAGACTGAACACCTTCCTATAGAACTTCTCTGGTGCCAAAGTGCTGTCGCCCAAAGGCACCTTGGAGCTGGCAAATAACCTATAACTGTTGGGGACAGTAATACGGGGGTAGTGGCGATGCTGGACTTTCTGACCCGAATCTGGATGTTTCCGATATATTTTGCCTCCTTTCTGCTTGCGCAAGCGTTGTAATGCTCAGGCGACAAGCCCAGGATGCAGCATCTGGTACCGTTCATCGCATTCTTAAAATATCGCACGAGATGTAAACCATGCGGGCAGCTTCTGAAAGTTCTACACATGTTATTTGCACCTTCTCACGATATCGCCGGTCACAACACCTTCCTGATGCAGGAACTAAATAGTTCATCACTGCCGAGCTGGTGTGCCTTCATACTTTTCCTTGCATATCATCACCGCTGTGCCAATCTCTTATTCTCACAATGACTGGGATTGAGTTCGTATCTGCAACGACCACAAAATGGTGACTGATACCAAATCTTGCACTGAATATGGTTCGCTGTTCACCGACATTACACTTGGTTACAGCCACATAACAATTTGAAGTAACACAACTCCATTCTGAAGTTTGAATCTTCTGAAATGTACATGCATGGAGGCGTTAATGACAACGACTAAATTGTTGCGCTTGGAAATCCGTTAATGTGTTGAATATTAATATTTTATTGCTTAATGCAAGCATATAATAGAAATAGCGATGTTTAACAGTTTAACAGGTAGCACAACAGCGCAAACGCGTTTGCTTCCTTCGATGCAACGATTGTTGACATTCCTGGTGACTGTCCATACTGCTTCGTACTATCCGGCGATTTCTATCACCTGGCTTATGATG